AAATAGCTACTCAGTTATCCTCACGAGGCTGAGTGGACCCCATTCCAGACCCACTACTTCTCAGGAAATCTGGTAGCGCCGGGAATCGAACCCGGTACCTCTGGATCTGTAGCCAGGAACTCTGACCACTTGACCACAGAGACGCTGCTAACTTTGAGAAAGTAAACAGATTTTAATAAAACTCGGTATGAACATTATACCGCAAGTGTTCACCCAAATTTCGTAAATTTAAATGTTAAGCAACCAGGATTAACAAACATGGCGGCCACGGGAATTGTGAAGTGTGGGAAAGATTAACCCCACTTAACTGGAGGTACTGAAATGTACGGCAATGATCTTCGAAACATATTGTGGCATGTAGACTCGTTGCTAGGTAACAACCGCGAAATAAGCAAATATGCAAGGCCGTTACTAGGCACCGGCCCGTAAACAGCAACAGAGGAAGGTGTTTTCTATGCGCTCCGTGCCGAGATGTTATGAGCAGGACAATTTAGGATTTGAAAAACCCAATGACCACATCGGGAATGGAAGCCCGATCTTCCGGCTTGTAGCATACTGAGAAGCCGTAATTCTTAAATCCCTTTTTGTGCATTCTTTACCTCCCTTCCTTTCTTGTGTTGAGAAATACCCGTGTAATTTTAACAGATATTTCTTGCACTGAAAATAGTGGGCCACCTTGAGAACTGTGCATCTCCCAAACTCTAATCGCTTTGTATAAAATAAGGTAAAATTGTATCTGTGCTTTATTAATTAAGCACTACACGATGGACACGTAGGTGAGAGTGGAGGTATAGCACCACCGTTTCTCGCCTCGGTAGTAGATGGAAGTTTCTCCAGCGCATCTTGGACAGGAGGCTGGATGGGCCGCCTGGACACCGAGGAATAGGCAAAACTCTTCCTGCTGCTGTGAATCGAACCTCCTTTTCAAAATAAGGGATGCAGGCCGAAACTATGTAAAGTTATTCATATACTTGATTAAGCACCACGCTATGAAGGCTTATGGAGCAGTCGATGCGTTCGAATTATTAACCTCGGTGTTATAGGAGTGGTCAGATACGTTCCACGGCCGCCTTACCACCGATACCCTTTTTACAGAACCTTGTTTAGTCCTTGCCCTGCCGGGAATCGAAACCGCACTCCTCAGGCATGTAGCCTGTGACTTAGTACTGATTGAGCTTACACATGGAGCTGAGCCCTTCTTGAGGAGCCGCAAATTCTGCAGCTACTCAAGAATTTCCCTGTATTTTATGGAACCAGAAGGTTCATCACCATGTTCAGAAGAGCCATCCAGTGGTCCCTATCCTGAGCCAGATTAATCCAATCTATACTATCCCATCCTACTGAGCTATACGACTAAATTCAACGCCTTTTAAAATAGCTGAAAGTTTCCACCACTGTTCTTTTTAGCAACTGAGTGCGGAGTTTCTGAACGCGACGGAAATTCAATAAATGCCTATGATATAGATTTCGTAAACTAGGCTATACGTTTGCATATGACGGTATAATCCGTCCAACTACGTCTACGTTTGCATATGACGGTATAACCCGTCCAACTACGTCAACATTTGCATATGACGGTATAACCCGTCCAACTACGTCTACGTTTGCATATGACGGTATAATCCGTCCAACTACGTCTCTGTTTGTATATGACGGTATAACCCGTCCAACTACGTCAACGTTTGCATATGACGGTATAACCCGTCCAACTACGTCTACGTTTGCATATGACGGTATAACCCGTCCAACTACGTCTCCGTTTGTATATGACGGTATAACCCGTCCAACTAAGTCTATGTTTGCATATGACGGTATAACCCGTCCTACTACATCAGCGTTTGCATATGACGGTATAACCCGTCCAACTACGTCTCCGTTTGCATATGACGGTATAACCTGTCCAACTAAGTCTATGTTTGCATATGACGGTATAACCCGTCCAACTACGTCAACGTTTGCATATGACGGTATAACCCGTCCAACTAAGTCTATGTTTGAATATGACGGTATAACCCGTCCAACTACGTCAGCGTTTGCATATGACGGTATAACCTGTCCAACTACGTCTACGTTTGCATATGATGGTATAACCCATCCAACTACGTCTGTTAAGCTTGACGCAGCTCTCACGCGTCACGGTGAAACGGATGCTGACTCCTTTGAATTAACTTATCACTCTGAAGTAGCAGAAGCATTCTATTCTGGTCGGAAGGTACGGCGGCGACTCGCACTGGGGCGTCTCGAGGATTACAAGATGGTGGAACAAGGCTGCAGTGATAATGTGCGTGCCTGCCGGGTGCAGTGGCGTGCCGACACTTTCGCTTCGTTTCTTGAGTAATGTGATTTGTTTTTTCTTTTTATTTTTTTCTGCTTCACCATCTCACTTACTCTGTCCCCTTTCTCTCCCATCAGAATTTCCTTCTTCAGGGTCGTTCTCCGCGAGCGTTTGTGTCGTGTCACTTTTATGACACCTCCTCTCGATTCATTGATCAGTCGTGTGGCTGTGTGGAGACAGCTCCGTTTAAATCGGCTGCTCCCTAAGTTTAAATAAAATTAAAAAATTAATTAAATTCGCATAGTGGGGGTGGAGTCCAGTTGGGTCCACTCGGCACTGCGGCTAGTGATTGGCCTATTGAACCTGCCCCGGATGATTATGATGATGGAGAATTTGGTGGAATGAAGATTGGCAAGAGAAACCGAAGTACTCGGAGAAAACCTACCCCAGCGCCACTTTGTAAACCACAAATCTTGACCAGACCCGGGTTTCAATCCAGGCTGGCCGCGGTGGGAAGCCAGCGACCAACCACCTTAGCTATGGCGCGTCCTAAGTTTAAATAACCAATTGAAATGGCCCCAGTCATTCTTAAGAGGCCAAAAGTCACTTAGCCACTCAACAAATGCCGAACATTTTACGGAACCAGAAATTTCATTACCACGTTCACAAAAGCACGCCAATGGTCCTTATCCTGAGACAGATAAATCCACTATAAGAACTATTATGTTTGTATGAGATCTATTTCACTATAATGCTCCCTTAAAGTTCTAGGTCTTCCTAGTGCTCTCTTTCTTCAAGGTTTTCATACCAAAAACCTGTTTCGCTCCTCTCCTCCATTCCATGGGCATGCTTTCCCCCTTGATTTGATCATTCTAATAATAATTGGTGAGGAGTGCGAGTTACGGAGCTCCTCGTTATGTATTTTTCTACATCTCCATCTTACGTAACCCTCTCTGGTCAACCTGATCTCCACAGCACCCTCTTCTCCTGCTCCCTCAGGCTGTGTTCTTCCCTTAACATCAGAGACCATGTCTGGTTCGTTAAGAGGTAACGCAGAATTGCAGGGAGCAAACACCTCTAGAAGAAAGGTAAAGCTATCCCTGTAACAGTCCGTAGAGGCCCATAGGGTTGCGAGACGTCGAGGCTCCCACATTTTCTAGATAGTCGGCTCACAGATGGCGGCGAGGTTAAGTAAAGTTATCCCTGTAACAGGCCATGGAGGCCCATAGGGTTGTGAGACGTTGAGGCGCCCACATTTTCTCTAGACTCGGCTCATAGATGGCAGTGAGGTTGTCAACCTTACGCGCCATCCCTATCAGGCTGTACGGTGACAGCAGGAACCTAAATAGCTTTACAGCCTCTCTACACCTACAGTAAGCTATAAAATGTTCCTGTACAGTCACGAAAAGTGCAGTTCTGCACACTGTTGCAGGTCCCTATCCGGCTGTACGGTGACAGCAGGAACCTAAATAGCTTTACAGCCTCTATACACCTACAGCAAGCTATAAAATGTTCCTGTACAGTCACGAAAAGTGCAGTTGTGCACACTGTTGCGGGGGGTCCCTGTCAGGCTGTACGGTGACAGCAAGAACCTAAATAGCTTTACATCCTCTCTGCACCTACAGTAAGCTACAAAATGTTCCTGTACAGGCAAGATAAAAAATAGCGAAATGTTTCTTCATTTTCGAATACATTTTCGGAAATCATTTTGTGTTAAATATTACGGATCTGCCAGAACTGTGCTAGGAGACACCTGTGTTTTAAACAACACTTGAAAATAGGGCGACGTCCCTTAGAGTAAGTTGCAGCTTCCGAGAAACCACGTGCTAGGTACTAAACTGTTAGTTCAAAATGCGTCATGTTCAGACCATTATATTGTCACCATCAGGTGGATACAGGTGTTGAATATTCTATTACGTTACTTGGCACTAATCTGTGTGGTGGCCGTTACAGTCAGAAGGAGATTTGGCTTTCCGTTTACTGATATAAATAAATTTGTTTAAAATCGATATTAAAATTTTCGGACGGGAAAAGTAATCGGTTTGACTAAGGCAATAGGAGGCCAGGGTAGGGCCTATAGAATTTCCAATTAAAACCATATATAGTAAACCCTCATTAATAGGGATTAATTGGTTGAAGATCATCCGGATTAAGTAATAATCTGGATTAATGAAGTAAAAGGTAGTCCTAAAAGATAAAAAGTTAGGAAGAAAATAAGTGGGAAATGTAATAATATGCGTAGTGCTGATATAGTGCAGTGGCCGCCGTGCCGAATGGATCCAGTTGGACTCCACCCCCACTAAGCGAATTTAATTAGTACTGATATAAATAAATCACTGCAGTAATTTCTTCCTCTGTCAGGAGCTGAAATCCAGGGTCTGCTTCATCCACCTGAAGCCAATCTCGGATATTTGCTCGTGCGGTTTCAGTCTCTCCAGCTGCCCTGAGCAGAGTCGGAAAGTCCTCTAGCTCTAACCCCTCTTGCTCCTAAATCCCACATGTAATTTAAAGTACGTATATACGTAATTATGAAGAGTTTCTCATTTTTCATGTATCGATCCGGATTATCTGTATCAAGAGTTTCTGTAACCGGATTAGCGAGTGTTTACCATATTATTTTCCCATGAGTGCTGCAAGGTCCCCCAACTTCTTCATCCTTGATTTAATCACTCTAATAATAATAATAATTTAAGTAAAAATCACTCTGTAATGGTCGTTGTTACAGACTTACAAATGAAGGAGCGACAAGTCCCCAAGCGAGCGCCTGGTTACAGGCAACACGCCACTGCACACAGCCAGTCGGCACACTGGAGCCTGGATCGTCACGGCGCAGGCTTGTGGGGAGAGACGCCAACCAGTTCGCGCACATTATTGAGGCTAAAAGCAGTGAACGACGCCTCGCGAGACGCTGTTCCCTCAGAGACGCCGCTCGACGGACGTCAGTCTACAACGGCTACTTCAGGCGAGCGAGTGACGCAGGTTCTGCTGCTTGTGAGGGATCGACTCGTTAACGGAGAGACACTGCCACTGTGTGTCATCCACTTACGGTAAGACGCAAAGAACTGTCTTTATTCCCGTATGGGTTAAGCGTATTTTATAGACAGCCACTGATGTAAAGAGATGAAAGTCTGTCTTCGTGTCAACATAAATATATTTTGTAGGTATCCACTTAGAGTAAGATAAAAAAAAATATTTTTGTCCATATCAATTAAATATATTTTATAGGCTCTCACTATCGGAAATATAGCAGAAGTCTGTCTTCTTATCGAGATCAGTTATACAGAGTAATAATCTGTCTTTGGTCCCAGATCACTTGGCCGTTTTACTTGTATTAGGTTCTGTGATTTAAAATTTTTATTTGTACTAAAAGGACGTCGATGTTATAGATAAATTTTCAAAGCAATACTACTACTACTACTACTAATAATAATAATAATAATAATACTCAATGAGACAAAATAGATACTATCTTATCAACATTTATTTATGCAGTTCTTATTGCCATATGTTTCGACGTTTCTTTTTAGGCCATCCTCAGGCAATACAATCCAATAACGTTAAATCCATGAATTGTGTCAGCGCATTAAATACGGATCCATATTTTCGTAGTGATTAAATTATTGAAATTTCGATTTATACTACAATTAAAATTACGTTGAAGTTTTCTCACACTGCTGTAAATTATTAATATTGTTGTCAACCCATTTGCGCTTTGGGAGTAAAAACAGTTAAGAATGTTTATGGAAATGTTCACATATTATTAATTATGAATTATTTAAATTCCATATAACTGAAAAGTTCATTTTTAGATAAATATTATAACCTTTCGCGTTACGAACGTCTTCAGAGTTGTGTCATATTCCACAGTTTTTAAAATTATAAAATTCCAATAACAAAGAATTCTTGGTGGTTTTAGGATATCCAATTCCTTGAACTTGTACACGCGTTGGTGAAATATACGCTTTTCTCGGCTGTCATGATTTACTTCAAGTCATTCATAATCTGAGTGGAAATTAAGCAACATTTTCGGTGTCTTATTCTCCGAATCTATGCAAATATGCTCTTTCGTTGTTTCCTTCTCCCATATTCATTCCGTCATTCCTTATGATCATTCCGCGCCATAGCCCAAGCTGTTAGCCGCTGGCTTCCCGCCGCAACGGCCCAGGTTCGAGCCCGGGTCTGGTCAAGTGGGATTTGTGGTGAACAAAGTGACGCTGGGGCAGGTTTCTCCGAGAACTTCGGTTTCCCCCGCCCATCTTCATTCCACCAAATTCTCCATAATCATAACCACCCGGGGCAAGTACAATAGGTTAATCAGTGGCCGCCGTGCCGAGTGGACCCAGCTGGACTCCACTCCCCACTAAGCGAATTAAAGAAAAATATCTTCATCCATCAACTCATCAATTATTTCTATGTATTTTTCCGTCACTGCTTTTATCTGTTTTCCTTCATCGATTCTTTCGCTTTTGTTATTACGTCTTTCCTTATGTCTCTCTTCTCTTTCCTGTTTCTTCTGCTCAGTCTTGTACTATTCACTTACGAAGCCCAGCATCCTGCAGCCACTTTCCGGGGGACCCAGCGAGGGCTTCGGCATCTGTGAGCGCAGTTCTGCTTCACTGCAGAATTAGGTTAGCCCACATAGCCTACGCACGGTGAAGCATGGATCCTAACCTACACTCCCCCCTTCCGTAGCATTCGGATGCTTCTTTGAAGTTCATCGCGTCGGAGTTCAAGAACTACTTCCACGCACTAGACTAGATCGAGTTACTGCTCTCAGAAAAGAAAGTTCTTTTGAACATCAGATATATTCACCACATGTGAATTATGTTCTAGATAAATTTGCTTCAAAATAAATTAGGCGCGTGCGCTTTCAGGAAGACCAAAACGAAAACTGGCAGTGAATGGCACAGAAAACAACGTTGGGGGATGCGGGACTGAGAAATACAGGGGAGAAAGTAAACTAAATTGAAGTGGAAAATTTACTTTCAGAATCCAACCAGTAAAAACAAACTCCGTGGCTTGAGTCAGCAAGCGAACTATACCGACCGAGCGACCGCTGCTTGTCGGCGAAGTTAGTGCCAACTTTAGCGGATAGAGGGTGTCGCGTGGTCAGCGCAACGGATTCCCACGGCCGTTAATCTCGGTTTTCTAGATCGGAGCCGCTATTTCCTTGAACTAGCTCCTCAGTTATGCTCACGAAGCTGAGTGGACCCCTTTCCAGACCCACTACTTCTCAGAAAATCTGGTAGCTCCGGGAATCCAACCCGGGACCTCTGGATCTGTAGCCAGGAACTCTGACCACTAGACCACCAGTCTATACATCTATACGATCTATACACATTCTACTGGCAGTTAGGCCTATATCCTTAATGAATTCCAGGTTGGGGAATGAGTAACGGTTACTCCAAGTAAGGGACAAATATTTCTTGGGAACAATTAACACGTGCCATGCGGGGTAGGAGGGTCAGTATTGATCGAGGCACCAATTGCCTATTGCGTTTCTCGGCTTGTCCTAGTAGACAACTCACTGCTTTGTAATCTGATACAGCACGATAATTGAGATCGGTGTTTCTCAACCTGTGGGACACGGCCTGTTGATGGTAGACGAAAATCAGCTGGGCGGACGTCTTGTGTCGAAAATAATAATCAAATCAGTGACACAAAATTCTGTTACACAGAAACTTTCATGCATTATGTGGGGAAGTTTCTTTTTAATGCTACACTGTAATTATACAGCGTAAATATTGTCATGTATATGCGTGACTATAGACGGGGGTTTCAATAATTGGATTTATTGACCACTTACAGGTCGTAACTACAAATAACTATAACACTGTCGCCGATTTCCACACTTTACAGTTCACTAGAGCACAAAGTTTAGAGATCTAAGCCTCTTACTAGCCATTTCTTGATAACGGCTCCTAAGAGTGTCTATTCCTCAACTTCCCGGCTGAGATCCTCTCTAAATGGAGATTTCCTTATAATTGAACTATTCTTGCTTCAGTTGTCCTTATAACCAATTTGCACGGACCGAATAGAAAACGCCGTTTCCATCAGCGCTTCCACTGTTGTGCGCATATTCGTTGCAGCCGGAAAGTGTTTACAGAGCCGTTGCCTAGAAACGGCTCTACACGGTACAATATATGTATACTTCTCTTTCAGGGTAAGGTGCTGTGATTCAATAACCATACAGGATTTGTGCAAATTACTGATTAAAGTTAGCAGTACAACCTGGTGGAGCGGTACAAATGCCACTTTCGTATTCACAATGAATGTTTCGATATATCGAACTAATCAAAGCGCGTACTTGAACCGTGATGTCGGTCGCATTACGTAGTGCGGAGTTCATGTTGCAGACTTCAAAGTGTGCTTTCGACATGCTTTGTACTTTGTGAAATGCTAGTTACAAAGATATCCACTCTGGTTCTGTAAAAATATTGTCCCTGCTTTGGTTTGTGGTCCATCACTAACACTAGATGTCTCTAATACAGGGTGTTCGCTTTATCTGTAATTAATATGCATACCAATGTTTGACGCTAATCTACTAGTCAATCCTGAAGCTTCCCTTGTCTAACCATTTCACTCAAATGAACTTGGAGACAGTTTCCGGAGTAATAAATGTGTTTCCATTCGAATGCTTGACGATAATATTAAAGAATATTTTTAGTACATCATTATTAACGCCATATTTACGAAGTAATGGGACTTTAATGCCCCACAAAAGAAAGAAATTCCGTAATTTGTAATGCTAAGCTTCTAGCCTGTCGAGATTGCCTAAGACTCCAGTCAGTTTAACTTATTCTACCTCTCCTAGATGGCAGGAGTTGGCAGAAGTTAACCACAATCACTGATCCAGTGGCTGAGGTTATCTCTTTCTAAAGGACACAGCAAGGTAGGTGTTTCGCGCCCTTCGTCCGAGGAAGGAAACAAATCCAGTTTCCGAAACTTTGTGTTCTTTAAAATGCCGAACAATGGGCAAAGCCCAAAAAAAAAGAAGTAATCCTGAGTGTAGAATTTTGTGTCTATGTATCGTGTCTATTATGTGAGTATTGACGTAAATATGTGAAGTGCAATCTATGAGTATAACTGAACTAAAAGAACAAAAGTATACCACATGTATATCTAATTCTAAAATTATTCCTCCAAAAAGACAAAGATTTGAAATTTTGTTGCAGCTTTTTTTTTCCTGCATGGGCACTCCCGTAACTGCATAAAAATTGTTTTAAATCTTATATCCAAAATCTGAAGCCTATATTTCCGGTCTGTCAGTTTTAAAAATAAAACTGAAACGTCGCTGACATGAAATCACAAGAGGAACAGTTTATTTGAGGGGATGAGGAGTTGTTTAAAGTTATGAAAGCCTCTACAGGAAGTGGACAGTAACACTCAACGAAGGGTGACTGACGCTGATTTGTTTAAATGTAGTCACGTGACAGTTCCGGCTGTCTCATAACCAAGTCACTTTTCATTTATCATCTTATGTGAAAGCTGAACTAGGATTCAAACGTGAAGACTTGCGAAGGATGGTTTTTCGGACTCAGAGAAAATGGGATGTTGCGAGATCTACGTGAACTGACCTGTCATGCATTGTAATGCTATAAATAAGCACTGAGTTCTTGATCGCCTTAAAAACACTGTGCACAAGTTTACTATCTTATACCTTTGTTCATTAATTTATAATTGATTTAATGACGCTGTCAATAGCTCAGACTTCAAAGCATTGAAAGTATGGGTGACTGATTAATGGATTCTGAAGGATGTGTATTGAAGTGGCCGTGGCCTATTTGGTAATACTGTAACACTATTTTTCGGTCTACAAAACCGAGATTAACGGCCGTGGGGATCCTTTGTACTGACCACATGACACCCTCTATCCACTAATGTTGGCACTAACTTTGCCGACAAGTGGCGGTCGCTCGGTCGGTATAGTTTGCTTGCGAACTACAGGACACGGAGTTTGTTTTGTTTTAATAACACTATTCTCTTGTATAAACCTAGGATAATCACAAAATTCACAACCAGGTAGTCCGATCTTCTGTCGAGATAT